GACAAGGTCCCCCATGACCTTCTGGCAAACAACTAGTCCAATGTGGGCTAGGCAAAACTACGGTGAGGTGGATCTGTAATTGGTTAAATGGACAAACCCAGAGGGTGCTCACTAATGCTTCCTCTTCATCCTGGAAAGAAGTGACAAGTGGAGTGCCGCAGGGTTCCGTCCTGGGCCCGGTCCTGTTCAACATCTTTATTAATAGGTTCTTGTGGGTTTTTTCGGGTATAGGGCCATGTTCTAGAGGCATTTCTCCTGACATTTCGCCTGCATCTATGGCAAGCATCCTCAGAGGTAGTGAGGATGCTTGCCATAGTTGCAGGCGAAACGTCAGGAGAGAATGCCTCTAGAACATGGCCATATAGCCCGAAAAAACCCACAAGAACCTAGTGATTCCAGCCATGAAACCCTTTGACAATACATCTTTATTAATGACTTAGATGAAGGGTTAGAAGGCAGGATCATCAAGTTTGCAGACGACACCAAATTGGGAGGGATAGCCAATACTCCAGAGGACAGGAGCAGGATTCAAAACGATCCTGACAGATTAGAGAGATGGGCCAAAACTAACAAAATGAAGTTCAACAGGGACAAATGCAAGATACTCCACTTAGGCAGAAAAAACGAAATGCAAAGATACAGAATGGGGGATGCTGGCTCGAGAGCAGTATGTGTGAAAAAGATCTTGGAGTCCTCGTGGACAACAAGTTAAACATGAGCCAACAATGTGATGTGGCGGCAAAAAAAGCCAATGGGATTTTGGCCTGCATTAATAGAAGCATAGTGTCTAGATCTAGGGAAGTCATGCTACCCCTTTATTCTGCTTTGGTTAGACCACACCTGGAATATTGTGTGCAACTCTGGGCATCACAATTGAAGAGAGATATTGACAAGCTGGAATGTGTCCAGAGGAGGGTGACTAAAATGATCAAGGGTCTGGAGAACAAGCCCTATGAGGAGCGGCTTAAGGAGCTGGGCATGTTTAGCCTGAAGAAGAGAAGGCTGAGAGGAGATATGATAGCATGTATAAATATGTGAGAGGAAGTCACAGGGAGGAGGGAGCAAGCTTGTTTTCTGCTTCCTGGAGACTAGGACGCAGAACAATGGCTTCAAACTACAAGACAGGAGATTCCATCTGAACATGAGGAAGAACTTCCTGACTGTGAGAGCCGTTCAGCAGTGGAACTCTCTGCCCCGGAGTGTGGTGGAGGCTCCTTCTTTGGAAGCTTTTAAACAGAGGCTGGATGGCCATCTGTCAGGGGTGCTTTGAATGCAATATTCCTGCTTCTTGCCGGGGGTTGGACTGGATGGCCCATGAGGTCTCTTCCAACCCTTTGATTCTATGATTCCTCCAGCACCTTGTGCTGCCTTACATAGAAACATAACTTGAATGCATGGCATCTGTGTGTGTGAACTGACTCTTGCAGCTGGGGTGATATGAATGTTATTTTTGTTGTTGTGAAAATTGGCAGCTCTGTTCACTCGTGAGCTATCATCTAACATTCCAGTTATAGAGTAAAGAAATTTTGTATGTTTGTGAACCCTTGGGGGCTACTTTGCCAATGCAATGCACTAAATTTAGCATTTGGGGGAAGGAACAAAGAGGCATCTCTCCTGAAGCTAATCTATCTTGAATGCAATAGCAACAACCTAATTCTCATCCCATCTTTAAGCTCCACATTAAAGCTCTGGTTGGTTGATCTCCATCCTTTCTATGCGGGAAACTACTTTCCAAATTAAAATCCAGTGTTTCTTGCTCTCTTATTGTTCTGGTACAGCTGTACCAGGAGCTCCAATTTTGTTTGCTTTGCATTGAATGTTTGTTTGCAGTCCTAAGTTTCAGGGACTCTGCAGATAGGTGGCTTCTTTGGTTGCAGTTATAGGGCAAGCCGCCTGTCCATCATCATTAAGTTTGGTCCCGCCCCTTGCTCAGGGCAATTGGGAAGGGAAGGGAGCCATTTTTTAGTTAGTCTCAGCAAGGAAAGCTATGTACAGAATGTGTGTAAAGCTTCCCCTGTACAAAAGCTTCAACCTTTAAGAATTTCCAGGGTTACAGAAATTCCAACAGAAACAGAAGGAAAAGAGTCTCCAAAGACTTTCCAGGGAAACAGCCCTAAAGATCAAAGAACTCCAGCTGAAGAGACTACAGGCCTTGCTGGTAGGTCCACTCGGTGCTTTGAGACGCAGTTCAACCTGGTAGTGGTGCCCACATCAGTTAGGTTTAAGTTTACAGTCAGCCTGGGAGAAGTTAAAAAGGGTGTTTTCCTTTAAAGAAGAAGTTATTGAAGACAGTTGCCTGTCCTTCGTGGGCAAGATTAGGAACTCACCAGTTACCTAAAAGCTTGGAATCATTTGCTTAACTTTACTGAAGACAAGAGAAGTTTCTGTTTGATTGTTCAGTAATAAAAGACTTTGTTGTACTTCTCAAGCCATCTAAAGACTGTTTGTGGTGGAAACCTCTGAGAACTTCTCTTTGGGCCCCCTGGCTTCCCGTGGGGCAAAGGTTGCACGTCCTGTTTTAAAGACAACTATTTACAGGCCCAGCGTGCGACAGAACAGCATCTTTGAAGTGTATTGTCGAAGGCTTTCATGGCCAGAATCACTGGATTGTTGTAAGTTTTTTCGGGCTATATGGCCATGTTCTAGAGGCATTCTCTCCTGACGTTTCACCTGCATCTATGGCAAGCATCATCAGAGGTAGTGAGGAGCATCCACACTACCTCCGAGGATGCTTGCCATAGATGCAGGTGAAACATCAGGAGAGAATGCCTCTAGAACATGACCATATTGCCCAAAAAAACCTACAACAATCCTTGATGTGCTGTCGCACGCTGGGCGTGTGCATAAAACTGTAGACAGGACATAAATTCTGTGTGCCCAACGGGACGCCGGGGCTGCCTCAGATTAAAGGCCTTTGGATTTCCTTAAAACAGAGTCTCTAAATTGCTTAAAAGTTCAACAAAGTTCTTTATTAATAAAAAACAAACAGTATTTTAAGGCTTTCTTAATAGTCTATTGGCTCTTTCAATCTTGTCCACAGGGAACAGGCACTATCTTCTTAACTGTAACTGTAATGGGGAAATCCTTAACTTCTAATCTGGGCAGTCTGTCTTTGCCTCTGTTGGCAACTGCGTCTGGCTTCCGCGAGTGACCCTTACCAAGCAGAGCTTTGTAGACTTCCAAGGGAAAAGGAGTTCAGGTTTTGGTGATGGCTGGCTGAAGTCCCTCAGCGAAGGAACTGTAAGGCTGTATAATCCTCGGCCAAGCTGTAGGCTGTATATCTCCCTGGCTAAGCTGTAGAAGACGAAGCTTTCTACAGGAGCTCTTGGTATTATGTCCTACACGAAAGGCTTCTCTGTGTGGACTGACTCAAAAAGGCTCCTATTCCCTCCAAAACTCAAAAAGGGGCGGGACCAGGGATTGTGTTATGTACCGATTATTTTTAACTGTGATAATTGTTTTAACTGCTGTTTTGTATGTTTGTGTATTTTGTATAGGCATCGAATTGTGCCTTTTTTGTAAGCCGCCCTGAGTCCCCCCTCAGGGGTTGAGAAGGGCGGGGTAGAAGCACCCGAAATAAATAAATAAATAACCTAACGATAATTGACAGGTGGCTTGCCCTATGATTGCAAACTATAACAGGAAGCCACCCTGCTGCACAATCCCAAGCCTGGGATTGCAAACAAACATTGAATGCAAAAGAAAAAGAATTAGAGCTCCTGGTACAGCTGTACCAGAACACTTGAAGTGACTGGATTGACCTTGAAGGAGCTGGGGGTGGTGACGGCCGATAGGGAACTCTGGCATGGCTGGTCCATGAGGTCACGAGGAGTCGGAAACGACTGAAGGAATGAACAACAACAAGAAAGGCCAAGCAGCCTGTTTAGCAAGCCTTGCAAAGGCTGGTTTGTGATTAGTAAATGTGTGATGTATGCAGGGGCGGCTTGTTCATTACGCGAAGTAAGCGGTCGCAGAACACTTTTTTTTTTTGCCAGGGGCGCAGAGGTGTCTCTGTAAATGCCCCTCAACCACCACTTGAGGAGCGCCCCCCCCCAGCTCACAACAGCTCTAGCAGTCCGGGGGGAGCCTCGGCTTTCTTGCCTCGCTGCCGGGCGATCCTCTTCCCAAAGGGGCCGGGCCCTTGAGCCTTGCCTAGCCCCTCTCGTTCCTGCTCCACCTGGCCACCGGGTGCGTGAGCAGAGCCGGCGCTCAATCATTCTCCGCGTTCAATCCCTTCCCCATGACTAGCTCCCTGTCCCGATCCCCCGGCGCTCCACCTGCCTCCTCTCCTCTCCTCAATCCACGGGTGGGCCAAGGGGCGGAGCCGCCGTGGCCTGCTTCGGGTCCGGAGGCGTGTCTGAAGACCCCAGTGTGCGCACCAAAAGTCGCCTCTTCTCCTGACTTTCTCTTCAGCCATTGGGACTGAGAGAGAGAGAGAGAGAGAGAGAGAGCCCCTCTGGCTGGAGGTATCTCCCACCTCCGCTCCCTCCTTTGTTTTTGCGCCTACCTTCAGGAAAGGTGGGCATCTCCACCTCTCTCTCTCTCTCCCTCGGTCCCAATGGCTGAGGAGAAAGTCAGGAGAAGAGGTGACTTTTGGTGCACACGCCGGGGTCTTCAGGCACGCCTCCGGACCCAAAGCGGGCCAGGCAAGGGAGCAAGTGCGGGAAGTGTAGTTACTGGGATGTATAGTTCACCTACAATCAAAGAGCATTCTGAACTCCACCAATGATGGAATTGAACCAAATATGGCACACAGAACTCCCACGACGAACAGAAAATATATATCAGTGATTGGTTGGGGGGGGGGGGGCGCCAAAATACTGTTTGCTTACCGTTGAAAATTATCTAGGGCCGCCTCTGGATGTATGTATATACCGACATACGTGAGGTCGCGTCAAAATTTCTCGGGAGGAAAAGGGCTCGCGAGTGGGAAAGTGGAAGAAGCCCTGGATTCAAGCAGCCTACAAAAGGGGGGGGGGGGGGGCAGAGAAAGGCGGAGCCTTCCCACTCGCGGCTCCTTGGGCCCCTTTTTCCGAGGGAGGAGAAGTAAGAAGAGGAGGAGGAGAAGGAGGAGGGGGAAAGGAGAGGACCCAGCCAAGGTACCTCGAAGGGGACACCCCTGGCATCCTTTGCTTCGTCGGGGGACTGAGAAGGAGGAGGAGGAGGAGGAGGAGGATGCCCCTCCCGCTTCCTCCAAACTTGGAGCCTTCCTCTCAAGCGCCTCTCTCTCTTCTTCTCGCCCTTTCAGAGTTTGCCAAGCCAGCCTGGACGGAGGAGAGGAAGCGCCCCTTCGCTTTTGGGGTAAGTCTGGGTGTTTTTTGCCCCTTCCATTCGCCTTGGCAGGAGGGGGACAGAGAGCGGGCACTGGCATCCTTATCCCCCCCCCCCCCAAAAGCAGCCCCATCCCCTGGACCCCAGAGCGGCCCCGAGTCTCTCCGCAGCGAGAGGACTTCCCTTTGAAGCTCAGCTTCTCTCCTTCTTGCTGAAAGAGAAGAGAGGAAAAGGCATGAAGGAGGAGGAGGGGGAGAAGCCACATCTGGATCATCCCCAGCCTTTGCCTCGCCGTCTTTTGGGCTTGTTTTTCTTTCCGAGAGGCGAGGAGGAACAAGCGGCCCCCGTTGCGGTCACTTCCAGCTGTTTCTCTTTGGGAGTCGGGCACAAAAGAGTTGTTTTCCTTCCTTCCCTCCCTCCTTCCTTCCTCCCTCTCCCTCTCTCTCTTCCCCCCCCCTTTCTTTCCTTCCTCTCTTCCTTCCTTCCTTCCTTCTCTCCTCTCTCTTCCTTCCTTCCTTCCCCTCTCTCTCTTCTTCCTTCCTTCTTCTCTCTCTCTTCCTTCCTTCCTTCCCTCCTCTCTCTCTTTCTTCCTTCCTTCTCTCTATCTCTTTCTTTCTTTCCTCTCTCTTCTTCTCCTCTTCCTTCCTTCCTCTTTCTCTCTCTTTCTCTTTTTCTTTTTCTTCCTTCCTTCCTCCTTTTCTCTTTTTCTTCCTTCCTTCCTTCCTTCCTTCCTTCCTTCCTTCCTTTCCTTCCTTCCTTCCTTCCTTCCTTCCTTCCTCTCCTTCTTCCTTCCTTCCTCTTTTTCCTTCTTCCTTCCTCTTTCTCTCCCCTCCTTCCTTCCTCTCTCTCTCTTCCCTTCCTTTTTCCTTCCTTCCTCTCTCTCTCCCTTCCTTCCTTTCTCTCCCTCTCCCTCTATCTCTCTCCTTCCTTCCTTCCTTCCTTCTTCCTTCCTTCCTTCCTTCCTTCCTTCCTTCCTTCCCTCTCTCTCTCTCTTCCCTTCCTTCCTTTCCTTCCTTCTCTCTCTCTTCCTTCCTTCCTTCCTTTCTCTCTCTCTCCCTTCTCTCTTTTCCTTCTTCCTTCCTTCCTCTCTCTCTCTCCTCCTTCCTTCCTTCCTTCCTTCCTTCCTTTTCTTCTCTCTCCCTTTTTCCTTTCTCTCCTCTCCCTCTCCTCTATCTCTCTTCCTTCCTTCCTTTCTCTCTTCCTCTCCCTTCCTTCTCCTTCCTCCTTCCTCTCTTTCTTCTCTCCTTCTTCTCTCCCTCTCCCTCCTCTCTCTTTTCCTTCCTTCTGTCCTTCCCTCCCTCCCTTCCCTCCCTCCCTCCCTCTCTTTCTTTCTTTCTTCTTTCTCTCTCTCTCTCTCTCTCTCCCCACAGCCCTGCCCGATTGTGGTTGGCAAGCACTTTGCTTTGGGGAGCTTGGGACCTGGAGAAGGGGTTGGTCTTGGATTGCTAGCCCACAAGAAACAACGGGTGGCGGGGGGGGGGGCACACATCTTTTTGAGGCTGGAGCTTGACCAGAGGAATGGCAGGAGGAGGAGGGAAAAAAGGCAAGGCCTGTCAGGTTTGGGAAGGAGGAGAGGGGAAGGCTGTGGGGTCCCCTTGAAAGAGCCAGATGGGACCAAAAGGGGAGGTAAGGGAAGAGAGAGAGAGAGAGAAGGAAAGAGGGGAGGGGAACCTAATTGGGAACATCTGGGCAGCTCTCTTGGAAGGAAAAAAAGGAAAGCTGCTCCCTGTCCCATTTCCAGCAACAGATCAAGCGATTGGCATTCGAGCACCAACTGAAGAGAGAGGCGGGCAGAAGACAGTTCTACCTTGTCTCCTGTGCTATTCTAATAATATAATATAATGTAATATATTGTATATACATATAATATTTATAATATTACTAGCCATCCCCTGCCACACATTGCTGTGGCCCAGTCTGGTGATCTGGAAAATAAAGTAATTAGAAAGTATTGCTTTCTAATATATGTAACTTCTTTATGCTTGTGGGTAAACAGTATTTCTTGCTGTTTCTTTTTCAGTGTTGATGTGGAGATTGTTTAGTTTGCCTACTCTGGAACATGCAACATATAATTGTCCTTCTTTAGGGGTCCCTTTCTAATTACTTTATTACTCTGGCGCATAGCAAGATTCGTCAGTTTTTTAGAGTTGCACAAGTAGGGCAAATCTAGGATACTATATCTCTCTGTGTGTGAATCATATCTATCTATCTATATCTATGGATGGATGGCTCTTTGTCAGGAGGGCTCTGATTCCATTTTCTTGCCCTGGTGAAGAGAGTTGGACTGGATGGCCTTATATTTTTTCTGTTGGTCATGAGGGTTCTGTATGGGAAATTTGCCCCAATTCTGTCATTGGTGGGCTTCAGAATGCTCTTTGATTGTAGGTGAACTATAAATCCCAGTAACTACAAATCCCAAATGTCAAGGTCTATTTTCCCCAAACTCCATCTGTGTTCATATTTGAGCATATGGAATATTTGTGCCAAGTTTAGTCCAGATCCATCATTGTTTGAGTCCACAGTGCTCTCTGAATGTAGGCGAACTACAACTCCCAAACTCAAGGTCAATGCCCACCAAACCCTTCTAGTGATTTCTGTTGTTTATGGAAGTCCTGCATGCCACGTTTGGTTCAATTCCATCCTTGTTGGGTTCAGAATGCTCTTTGATTATAAGTTAACTATAAATCCCAGCAAGTACAACTCCCAAATGACAAAATCAATATTTTTGAGTAAACCACATACATTGGGTTGTTATTTGTATTCTGTCCAAATTTGGTGTCAATTCCCCCAGTGGTTTTTGAGTTCTGTTAATCCCACAAACAAACATTACATTTTTATTTATATAGACTAGTCAGTAGCTCAGTCTTTTGAAGTTGCCTCTTGTTTGGAATAGGTAAAGGTAAAGGTTTTCCCCTGACGTTAAGTCCAGTCATGTCCGACTCTGGGGGTTGGTTTTTTGGGGTTTTTTTGTCGTGTCAGGAGTGACTCCTGGTGTGAGAGAATTGGCCGTCTGCAAGGACGTTGCCCAGGGGACGCCTGGATGATTTGATGTTTTTATCATCTTTGTGGGAGGTTTCTCTCATGTCCCCGCATGAGGAGCTGGAGCTGATAGAGGGAGCTCATCCGCCTCTTCCCGGACTCAAACCTGCGACCTGTCGGTCTTCAGTCCTGCTGGTACAGGGGTTTAACCGACTGCGCCACCGGGGGCTCCTCTGGGGGTTGTTGCTCACCTCCATTTCTAAACCAAAGAGCCGGAATTGTCCATAGACGCCTCCAAGGTCATGTGGCTAGCATGACTGCATGGAGCGCCATTAGGGCCGTAGCCAGAAAAATATTTCGGGAGGGGTTGAAATTTTCGGGGGGGGGGGGTTGAAAATTTTGCGGGGGGTGTTGAAACCTGCCTCCTAGCTCACGCTGAAGCAAAGAGCACAGCAGGGGGCAGAGCAGCCTTCAATAGCCTGCAGCTCCGCCCCTGTCAACCACCTCCACCAAGTCTGGCCTCCTTAATGAGAGCATTCAACACACACACCCCCAACTTGGTTGCTTCACTACATCGGCTATTGCTGCAAGTAATGACAGTGTGAATAAATTGTCAATATTTGCTTGAGATAGTGCTTACAGTTCTGGAGGGACTCTTAATTTTTTGCATCTCATAGACTTAGCATGGGGATTGGTTAACCAGTTAAAATTCATGAGTAAACCAGGTTTTTTTTTTTAAAAAAATCTGAAACATTTCGGGGGGGGGGGGTGAACCCCTAAAACCCCCCCCCATCGCTACAGGCCTGAGCACCGTTACCTTCCTGCCAGAGCGGTACCTATTGATCTACTCACATTTGCATGTTTTCGAACTGCTAGGTTGGCAGAAGCTGGGGCTAACAGTGGGAGCTCACACCGCTTCCCGGATTCGAAGCTGTGACCTTTCGGTTAGCAAGTTTAGTTGCTCAGTGGTTTAACACACTGCACCACTAGGTGCTCCTGGTGACATGTGTCAAATTTTGTTGTCTTTTGACTACCTCTTAAGTCAGGGGTCCTCAAACTATGGCTCCAAGGTCATTTACCCGGCCCTCGCTCAGGGTCAACCTAAGTCTGAAACTACTTGAAAGCACACAACAACAACAACAACAACAGCAGTCCTATCCCCGTCGCTAGCAAGCAAGCCCCTCGGGTGCTGGACAAGTGTCTGACCGCTGTGGCTGTCTGGATGAGGAAGAACAAGCTGAAGATCAATCCCGACAAGACAGAGGCCATCCTGGTCGATCGTAAACCGGATTGGGGTATAGGGTGGCAACCTGTGCTGGACGGGGTTACACTCCCCCTGAAGTCACAGGTCCGCAGTTTGGGTGTCCTCCTGGACTCATCACTGTCGCTTGAAGCTCAGGCGTCGGCGGTGGCCAGGAGGGCCTTTGCACAATTAAGACTCGTGCGCCAACTGTGACCGTAACTCGTGAAGGCGGATCTGGCCAGGGTGGTCCATGCCTTAGTCACTTCCAGGTTGGACTACTGTAATGCACTCTACGTGGGGCTGCCCTTGAAAACTGCCTGGAAATTTCAATTGGTCCAGCAATCGGCGGCCAGGTTGTTAACTGGTGCTCCTTACAGGGAGAAGTCAACCCTCCTGTTTAAGGGTGGCGGCCAGGCTGTTAACTGGTGCTCCTTACAGGGAGCAGTCAACCCTCCTGTTTAAGGAGCTCCATTGGCTGCCTTTCATTTTCCGGTCCCAATTCAAGGTGCAGGTGCTTACCTACAAAGCCCTAAATGGTTTGGGACCTGCCTACCTGCGTGACCGCATCTCTGTGTATGAACCCACACGATCTCTTCATTCATTGGGAGAAGCCCTGCTCACGATCTCACCGGCATCGCAAGCGCAATTGGTGGGGACGAGGGATAGGGCTTTCTCTGTGGTGGCCCCTCAACTCTGGAACTCTCTCCCCAAGGACATCAGGCTGGCCCCGTTGCTAGCAATCTTTAGGAGGAGCTTGAAAACATGGTTGTTCCAGTGTGCCTTTCCAGAATAGGAAACTCCAATGCAC